GGGCGGGGGGGGGGGGAGATCGCGCACTTCGCCCGCCCCCCCCCTCCTGATGGGCGAGCAGGCGAAGACCGGCGCCCAGCCCCGAAAAACAATTCGCCCGGCGCATGTCCAGCAGAGGCTTTCTCTAGGATTGGTGTATTCTTCTCCGGCGGCGGTGGCGGTGGCGAAACGGCACCCTGCCCCGCATCTATATGGGCAGTGGGTGGGCAACCGGGGGAAGCGTCCCATGCGGGGCGAGCAAGCTGTCGATTGGGGGCACGGCCAGCCGCCGGGCGGAGGTGGGTCACATGGTGGGGGGGGCATCGCCGCCGCCGCCCAGACCGAAGGAATTCCGGTAGTAAAGCCGCAGGTTGATGCGCGGCACGGCGAACGCCATGAAGCCCAAGTGCACGGGGAACAGGCGATCATTGACCAGCAGAACAAGCTTCGACACCGGGCCGGCAGGCGGCCGCAAAGAGGAGCACGAGGAGGGCCCCCGGCCCCCGGCCGGGGTGGAGCAGGGCATACATCAGTGACAGCCAGCGATCGGAGCAGGGCGTGGCGCGGGAGCGGGATCGGAGGGGAGGGCAGATGGGCATGTACCTCGCCTGGGGTGCTCGTGGCACTGACCAACTTCGGGTCCAGCAGGCCGATCTCCACCATGCCGATGTAGAGAGACTCCACCGGGAGGTGGGCCTTCTGCGCGCCATACAGCAGCGCGGCCGTCGTCGCGTAGGCAATGCTGTAGGAGGCCACCGTGGACACGGCCGAGCGCTTGAGGAAGTCCATAAAGCGAGCCTTGGTCTGCGTCCGGGATGCGGCCCACGGGAGCCACCCCGCCCGGCCCAAGGTAGGGAGGACACCACGGCGAAGGGGCGTGCGGCGGGCCACAGGTCAGCGAGCAGCCGGGTCAGGCACATTGGCAGGCAGGTGCATCCGGGGGCCGGAGGCTGGCCGCGGCCCGTTGACGTACCGAGGGGAAGGCCGAGTCCGGGGTCTGCACCGGGAGCGGGTCGCTATGGTGCTCGAAGAAGGTCTGCGGGATGGCCGTGCTGCCGACGGGCAGGTCGGGCATGGTGGAGCGCGCCTGGTGCGCCGGGACCACAACCCGCGGCTTGGGGGTCTTGCGCTTTTTGGAGGAGTAGTTGCGCTGCGGGAAGGTGGCCGTGGCGGCCAGCGGCGCGGCCGGCAGTGGCCCGGTGGCGCGGCCGAGATGGGGCACCAGGGAGCGGAGCATGGTCGGGCGAGGGAGCGAGCGGCGGCCGCACGGGGGCAAAGTAAGGCAGAGAGAGGGGAGGGGGG